TTTCGGGTGTGGAGTTTGGTGAGGTCTTTATAGATTTTGGATACAAGCCCTCGGTCTGCTATGTCATTTGCGAATATCTTTTCCCATTCCGTTGGTTGCCTTTTAGTTTTGTTGATTGTTTCCTTTGCTGTGCAGAAGCTTTTTATTTTCATGAGGTCCCAGTGGTTCATTTTTGCTTTTAATTCCCTTGCCTTTGGAGATGTATCAAGTAAGAAATTGCTATGGCTGAGGAAAGTTCCCTTTTCTGACTTCTTGTCAGAAGAAGAATTTCAAATCTATAGAACAGTTGCAAGAGTAGTATAATGGACAGTATTTTATTCTTCACATAATGATTTATGTGATAATTGTTAAATTTTACTGATTGCTGTGTTTTGCCTAATGAGGGTGGGAGGTTTTCATTTTTGCTGAACCATCTGAGAGTAAGTTACATGCATCATGACACTTTACCCCTAAATACTTGCCTGGTATCTCTTAAGACCAAGAATACTCCTCCTCCTCCTCCTCTTCTTCTTTTTCTTCTCCTCCTCCTCCTTCTTTTTAAATTCTTAAGTTGATGATCAAATTGCTGAATTATGGATATTTTATATAGTTCCTGGGCCATGTCACAAATTATTTTAAAGCTTTTATTTATTTATTTTTAAATGTTTATTTATTTTGAGAGAGAGAGCACACATGTCTGTGAGCGAGCAAGCAGGAGAGGAGCAGAGAGGGAGGGAGGGAGGGAGAGAGAGAGAGAGAGAGAGAGAGAGAGAGAGAGAGAGAGAGAGAATGAATGAATCCCAAGCAGGCTCCATGCTATCAGCACAGAGACCAACTTGGGGCTTGATCTCATGAACTGTGAGATCATGACCTGAGCTGAAATCAAGAGTCAGATGCTGAACCTACTGAGCCACCCAGGCACCCCAAGACCAAGAGTATTCTTCTATGTGACCACTGTACATCATCACACTCGGGAAGCACCGTCGAGGCGATACTCTATTATACTGTATCTAATATGCTAGGCATATTCAGATGTGGGTTTTGATAACTTGAAATCCATGAATGATCTGCCAGGTCCACCTCTGTAGACCTGCACTTAGTGGGTGCCATTAATTTGACTCAAGTGGTAGGTCTTCTAGTGCCATGTCATTGGCTCAAAAATGGACTCAGAGTTCCTTTCTCCACCAACTATTGACATCTTATGGCCTACGGATTTCCCAAGCTGCAGTGGTAGTTTTTATGCCTTCTTGATTGCAAGTCCCACAGCAGCTGTCAGTTTCCCAAGGATTACCTGTCTCTTGCATGGAACCAGTTGGGAGCTTTGAGTTTGTCCAAGCATGTCTGCCATCAGCCTCCTCTCTGCCGGAAAAGGAGCTAAATTCTTAAGAAGTTGTGTGTGTTATAGTGGATGGAACCAAATTTCCATTATCTAATTTCAGAACATTTGCATCATCCTTAAAACCCATTAGCAGTTACTCCCCAATCTCCCCTCCCACCAGTCCCTGGCCTTTTCCAGATCTTTCATATAAATGGACTAATACAGTCAGCGGTCTTTTGTGACTGACTTTTCCCCCTTAGCATAATGTTTTTGGGGTTCATCCAAGGTGTCAGGATTTTCGTTTCTTCTTGTCGCCAAATGACATTCCAGTGCATGGGGAGACCACATTTTATGTATCTGCTCATCAGTTGATGGGTATTTGGGTTGTTTTGACTTTTTGGTGATCATGAATAGTGCTGCTGTATACAGTTTTTTTTTGTATACAGGTTCTGTATGACACAAGTTTTCAAATCTCTTGAATATCTAAACCTGGATGTGGAATTGCTGGGTCCTGTGTTAACTCTGTGTTTAACATTTCGAAAACTGGTTAACTGGTTTTCATAGCAGCTACACCAGCTGCTTCCCATCATCAGTATGTAAGGGCTCCGACTTCTCCACATCCTTGCCAACACTTGTTATTGTGTCTCGTTTTGGTTATGGTCATCCCAGTGCGTGTTAAGTGCTAGCTCATTCATATTTATTTTTAATGGTCAGTTTTAAAAATTTTGTGTCAAATATGAAAACTGCCTCCAGTTCTTTTTTTTTATAATTGTGGTGAAATATACATAACATAAAAGCTACCATTTTAACCATTAAAAAAAATTTTTTTTAAATGTTTATTTATTTTTGAGAGAGAGACAGCGCGCACAAGCAGGGGAGGAGCAGAGAGAGGGAGAGACACAGAATCTGAAACAGGCTCCAGGCTCTGAGGTGTCAGCACAGAGCCCGATGCGGGACTCGAACTCATAAACCGTGAGATCATGACCTGAGCCGAAGCCGGACGCTCAACCGACTGAGCCACCCAGGCACCCTCATTTTAACCATTTTTAAGCGTACAACTCAGTAGCATTAAGTACATTCACAGTGTTGTGCGACCATCACCACTATCCATTTCCAGAACTTTTTGTCATCCTAAACTGAAACTCAGTGCCCATTAAATAACTCCACATTCCTCCACTGGGGATGGAATTCTATTCTACTTTCTGTGTGAATTAGCCTATCCTAGGTACCTCATATAAAGAGAGTTATACAATAATTGTCCTTTTGTGTCTGGCTTATTTTACTTATTGTAATGTCTTTAAGGTTCATCCATGTTGTAGTATTTGCCAGAATTTCAACCTTTTTATTCATACTCTTTTGTAAGCAAATCTGGAAAAATTTTACATATTAAGCTAATAAAGACAAAGTGCCTCACACTCTACATCCTCCAATAATGGTACTCTGACAGGTTTATAAACTATAACTGCCTTAAGACATGTTTGCCCAGCATGTATGCTTAGCAAAGTCTATATAACTGGGATGAATTCCATTCTTTATTCATAAAAAAGTTATTAAGTGAATTTCATTGACTTCTAGTTTATCTTGTTGATACAACTTTCCTAAATAAATACAAAAGAAATTATTGGCATTCTCTTAACTTCTTAGATTAAAACTTTGGAACAGACCAAAGCCATTGAAGACCTAAATAAATCCAGAGACAAACTTGAGAAGATGAAGGAGAAAGCTGAGAAAAAACTAATGTCTGTCAAGTCAGAACTGGATTCTACAGAGCATGGGGCTAAGGAGGATAAAGAGAGAGCCAGGAACATGATAGAAGTGGTAACCAGTGAAATGAAGACACTAAAAAAATCTCTGGAAGAAGCAGAAAAGAGAGAAAAGCAGGTGGGTAGAAATCTGGTGGTGACATCTTGTTTAGGAAAGATAGGACAATTCAAAAGCTTGAAAATTACTCATATGCTTCTTCAAAAACAATTTATAAAGCTTTCTATATCATTTCAATGTATCTGTCTACCCTCTAGCATCTTTTTGGCACTAAAATAGCCATAATGATTTACTCTGCTAAGAATAATAATTCACATTTTCATGGCATGAATTGTAGAAAAGAAAAAAGACGTTCTTATCAAAGCAGCGGAAAGCCTGTGAAATGCCAGTTTCTGGTTGTGGAGAGGTTTTTATTATGCGCACTGATTGCCTCTGAAGTTTGCATCATCCCAGGCTTCAGCCTCAGGAGGGAAGGCTTATCTCCAGCAGAGATCAGTGGCAGGAAACAGTCCCAACTCTCAAACAGTGGCACCCAGACTCAATGGCCAATCTAGCCCAGATGGAAGCCATAAAACAGTCCTCACTCGCTGGCTGGTTGCAAGGAGAGTTTTATCTGGTGAGCACATCAGGAGGTCACGCACAAAGAACTGTACCGGGCAGCCTGACCCCCATTGCTTTTGGGTTTCATCTCGCTCTCTTTCTGAAGCTCAAAAGGGCAGAGAGTGGACTCTCATCCTAGGATATTTTTTCTCTTTGGCTGCCTCTGCTCTGGCTCATGTGTCAGGCCGAGCCGAGGAAGGCCAAACTATAAACTGCGTGTTCTCAGAGGGAACCCTCTCAGGAATTAAGAGCTTTGACCATATTTGAAAGGGGAGAAAAGTTTGAGGGAAACTTTCTCACCAGGGACACTAGGGGGGAGAGGGTATTATGTTCCCCAAATTGGACTCAGCGTAGGAAGGAGGTTGGGATGTGAATGAACACATGGTGAGAATGTTTGGAAGGCAGTTTTCCTGGAGGTAACATCTGTCTTCAGGTTGGATTGCATCTTTTCCAAATGGAAGGTACCTCTAGCAAGGGGTTGGCCCGATCTCCCTGATGTATCTGCTCCTGCTTTGGCGCAGAATCACAGTGGATGAGAATGTGAAGGACTATGAGGCATCTTTTCATCCATTTTCTCCAAGCTCGTCACCTCTCCACGTTTCTTTTTGCGATCGACAGAGAGTAGTCCCGGAGGGTCTGATGTTATGGTTTGTGAGGAGGCTGTTTATGTGATGTCATCTGGTCATTATTTAGAGCTCCTTCTCTTTTCATCAGCTCATACTTTCTTGCCCTTTGTTCTTCCTTTAGTTTAAGTGGTTCCATGCCCACTTAAAATTCCACGTACTTATCAACGGTGTGCACAGCCACAGCATTTGTAAAGCACTTCCTAGTATACAGAACACGTACACATTCATTGTTTCATTTGATCCGAATTTCAGAACAGCTCTGGGAAGTAGGCATATGATTATTTCCCTCAGGAAGTGAGAACATGGGTCTCATTCATGGTTGCTTTTCACTGAGATTCTTGACTTGGTAGCCAATGCCACACTACCTGGCATGAAATGCCACACTAAGTGGCTGTGAAATCACTGACAGTTGGTGCCCGGAAGGACCATGGGGGGAAGTTAGTAGATTCGCCTTCTTATTTTATAAATGAGAGGACTAAGGTAAAAGTAAGTAATTTGCTTACCTCATGTACCTCTGGGTTTTCCACAGGGTTTTGTTTGGTTGGTTGGTTGCATTCAGACCAACAGTAGTCAGCATGTTTTGTTCTCACCCTTAATGTGTGTGTTTGATATTGCAGCTGGTGGACTTCAGGGAAGTGGTTTCCCAGATGCTGGGCTTGAACATGACCAGTCTTGCACTTCCCGACTATGAAATCATCAAATGTCTTGAAAGACTGATCCATTTACATCAGCATCACTTTGTCACCTGTGCCTGCCTCAAAGATGTGACGCTTGGGTGAGACAGGCACGCACAAAGCCACTTAAAACTCCTTCATTGAATACCATGTCTCTTGAAGGAGGTAGAGCTAAGTGATGGCACACAATTCTCGATTTCACGAATTCCCGAAACCTTTGAAATTTGATCAGTATGTGAATACCATTCACTTTGAATAGAGCGAGGATCCGTCATTTGCAAAAAAAGGATCTCAGAGGTGCCAGCTGAAGGGAAATGTCTGACGCTAAAAACACCTATTGTTTTATTTGCTAGCACTTTGGGACCCAGAAGAGTTCCAGTAGATTGTAAACCTAGAATGGGCAATGGTGGTAGGGAATTTACATTTATGGGATTCCTTTTATGACTTGGGGGCTTTCCTACCCAATTTAATTCTCATAATAGCCATGTGGAGAAGGTTTAGTGTTTGATTTTACAACCTCTCTGGGGCTCAGAGAGGGTGTTACCTACCCAAGATTGCAATTGGTTAGCAATTGAACCAGAAGTCTTACCATGCTGGCTCTGGGTCAAAGGCTGTACCTTCTCTGTTACATCGCACTCCTCCCGTTTCTCCTGAATTCCTGTGATCCTGGTGAAAATTGCCCCCATAAAGAAAGACAGACATTCATAGAATCAAGAGTTGAAGCCCCCAAAGTAACAGATTTATGAATGTTACCCATATGATTTCTTTAAAAGGCAATATACCAAATTATTCGGTAAAACATACATAGGGTCTGAGGTCCTGTAAGAAATTTACCTGTTTTATTTAAAAAAAAAAAAATTTTTTTTTAAACTTTTTTATTTATTTTTGAGACAGAGAGAGACAGAGCATGAATGGGGGAGGGGCAGAGAGAGAAGGAGACACAGAATCGGAAGCAGGCTCCAGGCTCTGAGCCATCAGCCCAGAGCCCGACGCCGGGCTCGAACTCACGAACCGTGAAATCGTGACCTGAGCTGAGGTCGGACGCTCAACCGACTGAGCCACCCAGGCGCCCCGAAATTTACCTGTTTTAAATGTGGCTGCCAGATCACATTTGGTGGCAATTTTTCATGTTGGAGCAGGGTTGATCTCAGTCCTTGAAAAGTTAAACCTTTAATGTGAAACCTGTCACATGAAATCCTGTACAGTTTTATTCACCAGTTTATCAGATGCACTGACAGCAGGGGTACTTTTTTCAGATTGGGATTTTATTATGACTTTCTGTCATTTTCTGCCTTCTTTTTAAATTTGTATTTCACAGATATTTTTCCGGAAGCCATATTCTTAACTTTATTGAGAGAAACTTTTACTTTTTTGGGTCGATTACTGTATTTTTGCCATATGTAATTTTCTAAACAGTTTCTGAAAAAAGTGTTGGTGGCTAATGAAAGGAGAGGGGAAAAACAGATTACATCCGAACATTAAGAGAAAAAGCATATTCTGCGGGGCACATGGGTAGCTTAGTTGGTTAAGCCTCTGACTCTTGAGTTTGGCTCAGGCCATGATCTCACAGTTCCTGAGATCGAGCCCCAAGTCAGGCTCTGCGCTGACAGCAAGGAGCCTGCTTGGGATTCTTGCTCTCCCTCCCTCTCTCTCCCTCTCCCTGGCTCATGCGTATGCATGCTCTCTTACTCTCAAAATAAATAAACTTTAGAAAAAGAGAGAAGAAGCAAATTCTAGAGGAAAGGAAATGAGTTGGGCACTTACTGATGACAGATCACACAGAGGAAGAGGAAGCAACGATGTCCTCTGGGAGATGGGTCACGGTCGCCTGGCTTTCTCCCTTGTGTGCAAGGATAGTATAAAGTACCTTTTGCAACTGAATAAACACACCTTCACAGCCCTGACTGAGGACACGAGCTAGGTCTTGCAACAGGCTGGAGAGGCAGAATTGTATTTTCCCCACAGAAGTCATCTCTGAAGATCCCCTCACATGCTCCGTGGAGACAGTGGCTGCTGTTCTGGACCCATACGCACTCAGACTGAAGGAGGCAACCTTACTGTCTGGGTCTCTGGAGGACTGAATTGCTGAGTGGCTTTGCTTCAGCCATGCCATAGAAAGGTGGGGGGTGTTCAGAGATGGAGGGGTTGTTTTTATACCCCTGTTTTATATCTCTGTTCTCATTTTCCAAATACAGTCTGTAACGAACTTCGTTTATCTTCTCTGTGAAGTTATTTTCAACACTATTCGACGTCACTTTCAAAGCATAAACTCATAAAAATATTTCTCCATTTCGTGACATAAGAAAAATAAGTTCTATCTATGTAGATGGTCCATATGCACATTAACTATTTGTCAATTAGACAAATTGAAATCCCTTAATAAAGTCATTTTCCTCCTTGTTGAAATGTCAGTTGGTTGTTGGCTTTCCCTCCATGGCATTCATTCTAGAGCTGGCAGACCAACGTCACATTTTTGTGTTAGATTTTGTTCTTCTATAATATCCATGTATATTTTATGTTGGCCAATAAAACGTGTTATGTTGATGAGATTTTCTAAATAGGGTTTTAAAATATTTAACACTAACTCTTCTACCAAATACACTTGAGTGATAATTGCCTTTGAGATGATTATTCTGGTCATTGTCTGGGACGTTTAAATGCATGCATAAAATATCTCCATTAGGAAAAAAAAAAGAATTAAACCCAATCAGTTCTACCTTATAGTCTGTCTGTCTTACAGATGAACAGGAGGTGATTCAAGGTCAAGGGGTTGTGGGCTGGAAAGTGGTTAAAGAATGTCTATATTATTTATATTGTAAAAATCCTTAGGACTTGGACGTGGAGTTTAATTTTCACTGGGAAGCATTTCATGGCTACATAACCTTTGATCGGGAAGGCTCTTGCCCACTCTATGCAATAGTGATTTTATCCACATTATTGTACAACCCCACTTAGCTTCTCCTCAGTAAGTGGGGTCTGTATGGAGAAGTAAGGAGAGCTTCCCTCTCCTCTATGCTGCCTCCACACTGTTATGCCCGTGTCTTCGTATAAAAATCATTGCTCATTTGAGGCTCCTTGCTAACTGAATATAACTTTTCTCTTGGTCCTCATTGCAGTTACCTGTTAACATCCTGTATGTCTTCCTACTTAAGATGGTTCATAGTGGGGCTCCTGGGTGGCTCAGTCACTTGAGCATCCAACTTCGACTCAGGTCATGATCTCACGGTTCGTAGGTTCAAGCCCCACACTGAGCTCTGTGATCTGTTTTGGATCCTCAGTCTCCCTCTGTCTCTGCCCTTCACCTGTCTTCTCTCTCTCTCTCTCTCTCAAAAATAAATAAACATTAAAAAAAAAGATGGTTCATAGTTGTCTTCTCCAGCCACATGAAGTGCTGCCTTCTTCTCGGGTGACTTTAGTGCCCATAAGGAAAATTCATACAACGTTTTATCTTTAGTTTCTTGGCCTTCTTGACCTTCATACTTTTACCTTCTTTTGTTTCAGCTATTTAAACCTTAGATTGCAGTTTATAGCAATCCAAATGAAACTCCTGTAAGTCAAAGAGAATTTGGGGGGGGGGATACTCATTTGAAAGATTCAGGAGTAGACTAGCTTCAGCACGGCTAGACGCAGGGATTTAAAATTGTTATTTGGATTCTTTTTGCTTCTACCCATCTTCCTTTTCTCCTTGATTTGCTTTTCTTTGCGTGTTGGTCTCCCTTTCTCCTTCTGGTGATGGGTTTCTCCATGCTGCCAGCAAAGATGATAACCAGCAGCTACATGGTCTTTTCAACTCATGAGCTGAGAAAATGAGACACTCTCTGCCTCCAACACTCATGGAAGGAGTGTCAGGGAAGAAGAGTCTGATCATGTCTTCTTGGCCACGCACTCCTTCCGAACCAAGCATTGTGGCCAAGGGATGAACTCATTGGCCTGCATCCCATGAATCCAACTGGCCTGCAGTGAGGTGGGGTGGGGTGAGGTTCCAAGGTGATCTGTTCAACCAGAACCACACGTAATGACAGAAGGAAAGCTGGACAGGCACACAGCACACATCTATGACCCTTGGTCAAATTTAGGATCTTCTAATTACCTGCAACTTCTCCACCTCTAAAATCTTACAATCTCCATAAACTCTTATCATTGCAGACCTCTATCTCTTACCCCACATAAGTGCTCTTTGGGTTTCCTTGGTTCTCATATTTTCTCCCTGATAGCCTTGCCATCTGGGGTCAGCCTAGATACTCTGGTTCCTTTTTATAGTCATTCTTTTCCCAACACCTTCAATTCCTTGTGCCCTTGCCCCTCATCCCTCGGATTTGAATTAGTCCCAACTAACAATGTTTCTGCTGCTTTTCCTGCCCCACTGGATGAGACTGGAGGAAATCACAGGTGGCCTGGCAAATTCTCACCTGAGCCCTCTGGGCTAACTGGTAATCCTTCCCAGTTCCCCAGTTTGAGCTCGCTGCCATTTTCCAAAATGACTGTTGCAAATATTCTACTCTTCCTCAAGGCTCTTAACCTGTCTTCTTTCTCCACTGTCAGCAGATAATCTTGTCTCCTCTTTCACCCACAAAGAAGAAGCCATTACAGGACATATCTTCAATATCAGATCCTAAAATAGCCTGATATGTGTGCATATATCGTGGCCCCCTTCCCTCTTCTTGCCTTGGGTTATTTCCTCCGCCTGGCCGCTTGTGTCCTCACTAACTTCATCCTATCAATTGTCCTCTGTCTCGAAAGCGTTTTCAACCTTACTTTCCTTTGTGGCTTCTTTCCCTCAGCATTTAAATATGTTCGTCTTAAATCAGTCCCTTTACTCCCCAACAACTTCTCCGTAGGGCCTTATTTCCCTCTGTCTTTCTGGTCTCACCTCCTCTTCACACCATCTTCCGCGGCAACCTGGCTTTGGTCTCCACTCACCTGGTTCTCACATTTTTGTTAGCAAACTTCTGTTAGTTTTTCTAAATTAATCGATTAATCTATTCATTTAGAGAGAGAGAGAGAGAGAGAGCAAGCCTGAGTGGAGGAGGGGCAGAGAGAGAGAGAGAGAGAGAGAGAGAGAGAGAGAGACTCAAGCAGGTTTTGCACTGTCGTCATAGACCTGA